GGCTCCGGAAGAAGACTTCTGTGCAGATGACCCATCTCTTCCGGTGGCAAGCAATGCCAGTACAGTCTTCTGCTGCTGCTGCTGATTATCAGTTTTTTTTCCAGGCTTTGGCGGGGGAGCTCGATGTTTTGAAGGCTATGGCTGCAAGGACAGGGCTCAAGGTGTCCGTGGTTCACGGTGTTCTGGCTGTGGCTTATGCTTGGCTGGAGAAGATCGAGGGATGCAGGGTTCCACTCCCATCCTCAATGAGAATATGTGGCTTGATTTCTTTCGCCATTGCCAATGAAGCACAGTGCGATCCGGATGTCGTGAGACCAGCCTATCGCAAATACAAGAGCATTGCTGTGAAAGAGATGAGGAGCTGCGAAAGCCGTTGGGTAAATGTCATTGGTAACCTATAGATGCCCAATGAAGTCTTCAGATCCCGCACTGCAGGACCAAGGGCAGGAGGACCAAGGGCCGGAAGAGCCCGCAAGCCCAGCAGCTGCTCTGCAGGACCAAGCCCTGCAGCACCAAGGACCGCAAGAGCTTTTCCTCAACGAGCTGGACTGAGCAGGCTACGGGTTTGCAAGGCTCTGCCTGCAGTAGTTTGGCATGCTGCAAGGCTTCGCCTGCAGCATGCCCGGAATAGGAGTCTGCGTAGAGCCAGATCCCAGAAATCGGACCCTTAATGGGTTCCAGTTAATGCAAGACAAAGTACAAAGTCTTGCATACAAATCGCGGCAACACTGCAGAAACTAGTTTCGCAGTTGATTGTTGAAGCCTTGGACACTGTAGCCTCTGTAGACAGGCATGTGCTTATGCTGAAAAAATGCAAAGCGCAACCGGTTGCACTATGTATTTTGCTACGAAATCAATAGCTTAGAGACACATTGACTTGTCCCAGCTAATTTGTTGCTTCTGCTGCTACTACTGCTACTTCTACTTCTAGTACTATACTATTACTGCTAGTACTACTGCCTCTGTAGACAGGCATGTGGTTATGCTGAAAAAATGCAAAACGCAACCGGTTGCACTATGTATTTTGCTACGAAATCAATAGCTTAGAGACACATTGACTTTTCCCAGGTACTACTACTACTACTACTACTACTACGCATAAACTATAACTTCGTGCTGCTTGTCAGGAAGCCACAGCATGGTGTGATGCAACCGTTGGCTCAAAGTCACGTTTTGCTCTCGCTGCATGAAGGCATCGCCTCATCAGCCGTGGATCGGTGCTCCATCCATGGCCGAAAAGCATGTGCGAGACATGCTGGACTTTGTGGCGATGCTCCGGAAATCGCCTGGCATGGACGAGGGCCGTGCAGAGAAGATGGAAAAGAAACTGCTGCAGCAGCTGGAGGAGCTGCCTGGAGCAGTGAGCTTTCAAGAAGCCACACGTGCCATGGAGAAGGTGTCCGCGGCAGATGTGCCGGATGGCTTTAAGCAGGACATCGTGCGATGTTTGGAGGAAAAAATCGAGGCGACGGGTTCCGCCGAGAGTTCCGCCACCACGCGGGAGCTCAAGGGCAACCAAAAGATGCAACAGCATCGTTTTTTCTACAACTTCCTGGTGCCAGCGGAGTGGGATGCCATCATGAACCCGAGAGCCTCCGCGAGGAGCAAGCAAAGGGTGGTGGCCAACAGGCTACAGCTCCTGGGCTTGGTGTATCCGAGGGAGGCAATCTTCAAGCAGGCCACTGCCATCTTGCTGCTTGGCAGCCACGATGGTGCTCCGGAGCATCTGAATGTGAATTTTGTTACGGCCTTAGACCTGCTGCAGGAGCTGAAGGACCTGTGCAGGTCTTCGTTCGACAAGTCCAAGTTCAGTGGGCTCAAGGACTACCAGGAGAGTGCGAGAGATCTCCCGAGTGATCTCTTCAGGGCGGCCTACGGGGAACAAGCGCCGGCAGCTTGTCCCATGGACTTGCCGGCCTTGCACGGGCTTACCAAAGCCCTTGCTGCGAGGAGCACGCACAACAGTGTGCAGCAAAAGGGCTTTGGGCAGCAGCTCGGCAAAAAGGACAGGTGCCTTCAGGAGAACATGCACGGTGCCCTGTTAGGGCACCTTGGCAACCTCTTGATGAATGCCATGGAAGGGAACGGCGTCCCTGGCCTGCGAAATTTCGCTATGACGAAGAAGCGGAAGATGTTGGAGGACGGAGAAGCCTCCGTGCCGCTTGAGCTCCAGCTCCCAAGCAAGCAGCTGGCTTTGAAAGACAAGGACAAGGTGGCGGAGAAGGACGAGGAACAGCAAGCAGAGGACTTGGAGGAGAACGAAGAGGCTTCGCCCTTGAAAACGCCTGCCGAGCCTAAGGCCCGGCGCAGTGTCGACGAGATGGTCTCCAAACTCCAGGACCAGCTCGCGGCCAACAAGGGAAATCCAAGCAGCACACCTGCCAAAGCAAAGGCTGAAAAGGAGTCCGAGACGCCTCCTTCGCCCAAGCCGTCGAAGCCGGCGAAGGGCACACCTGCCAAAACAAAGCCTGCCGGAGGAAAGGGCGCCGGCCAGGCAGCTGCAGCTGCAGCCCATGGGAAATGCAAAGGCAAGGGCAAGGGGAAGAAGGTGCTGACAGCTTTGCCCAAGTACCCGGGCACGGCAAAGAAGCCGCCGGTGTGGTTGCAGACCTGCAAGATCTACACGGATACGACCACGAATGCGTGGAGGGTCCAGATCTGTGGCGACAAGAAGGACAAATCGTTCAAGTTTTCGGACAACCCAAAAGCTTCTTGGCAGCGGCTCAGCGCCTACGTGAGCGAGCTCTAGATGTCAGTGGCCTCGCCCTGCATCTTGCATGTAGGTTTCTTACCCCCCCCCCCCCCGGGGCGGCCTCAGCCCTATTCGTGAGCTCCCCGCAGTTTGGCAGGGGCCCCTTTTTTTCGCCCGGCAGTCTTTAAAGAGCATGTGCGACGGGGAACCGCACGCAGAAGAAAAAAGATTGTAGAACGGAGTTGGTTTAACCCCCAGCCCTAAATGCATGTTCAACCCTGTACATAATCTGTTACAGGCTTTCCCTGCGTGGCCGTTTGTCATACAATATAATTTGAATGCTGGCAGATTTTGGCATTCTGAACACTGTTTTTTTCACCTCTACATGATTTTTTGGACCGCCGCAGTACCTCAAAATGCTTTGCTCGTGATGAATTTTTGCACCCCTCATGATCGCAAAATGGTGCTCGCGAAACGCCTTTTCTGACCACCTATATACCTCAAAATGGTTTTCTCGTGACGAGTTTTTGCGACCCTCATGATCCCAAAATGGTGCTCACCAAACCCATTTTCTGACCGCCTATATACCTCAAAATGATCTTCTCGTGACGAGTTTTTGCACCCCTCATGATCGCAAAATGGTGCTCGCTAAACCCCGAAATGTGTGCTCGCTAAATCACCAATTTCGGAGTTATAAGTCACTTATAAGTCCGACTTATAAGTCCACCAAAACTCCACTTATAAGTCCGAGATAACTCGACTTAACAAGTCCAGTATATCTCGAGTTATAACTGACCAAAGCAAAAACCCGCCAAAGCCTGCAAGTTCAAGTGTGTATTGCGTCTAGCACCACCAGTCCTGTGCGTGCGTCTGGAGCCAGTTGTCTTGCAGAAGTTGCAGTCCTTTGGCACGCTGCATTTGGCACTTTAATGATGTCTTTGAACGTGCGCCCATGGGGCGGTTTGGCCGGAGTGGCAGTGCATGCGAGCCGGTTGGGCAACAGCTGTGCAAGAGATAGGGACTGCAAGTTCAAGTGTGTATTGCGTCTAGCACCACCAGTCCTGTGCGTGCGTCTGGAGCCAGTTGTCTTGCAGAAGTTGCAGTCCTTTGGCACGCTGCATTTGGCACTTTAATGATGTCTTTGAACGTGCGCCCATGGGGCGGTTTGGCCGGAGTGGCAGTGCATGCGAGCCGGTTGGGCAACAGCTGTGCAAGAGATAGGGACTGTGTGAGCCATGGCTTCATACACGGAGTCGGAGCCGGTGTTCACCAACCGATGTGAGACCGTTGGCCTAGGCGGTGAGGCCCTGACCAAATTGAAGGCTGCCGGAATCAATACCCTTGCTAAGGTGGCATTCGTTTCGTCTTACGCGCCAGGCGCTGCGTCAGATTCCGAGCTCAGAAGCACTTGGGAAGGAGAGTGATGCAGGCCAGAAAGCATCCTGGCGCAGGCTATTCCATGAAGCTTATGCCGTGGCTACTCAAGAGCTTAAGACGATGGCCGAGCGGCCAGATGAGCCAGGGCCAAGGCGTCTGTCACAGCCAGAGAGAGCGGAGAGGTACCGAATGATCAAGGCATCTGTTTCAGGGATCGATATCAAGGATCGGAACGAGCCGAGCGATGCATTGCTGGACTTGTGTGTGGGCATCTACGAAGGGAATCGCTTTCGCTATGTTTCTTGGGATCGTTGCACATCCAAGTCCCAGGAGCTCTCGAGTGAGGCGAAGCGTGACAGCATGCTCACTGTGGATTCCCAGGGGCGCTTGAAGGCTGAAGCTAAGAGCGATCACATTAAAGCTGACACGAGTTCGGAGATTTTGTTGCAGTTCGCACTCTTGCGAAGAGGTCTTGCATTGGAAATGTCGAACTTGCTCGACTTTCGTTTGCATCGCAGGTGGGCCGAAAAATTGATAGAGACAAGGATGGCCGCCCAACTCGACACGCATTCGCAAGTGTCTTTCGCCCAATTGGAGGCGTCGGACCAGAAGTTCTTCCAGGAATTAGCGGACAGGACTCGCGATGGAGTCCAGGCCACCGCCCTCGGTCGCCCGTTGGACGACTGCTTCGACGAAGTTTTCAATTTGCCAGAGGTCACGCATGTGATGCAGCCGCTGCCTAAGCCTAGCGGTCGTGTGGAGCCACCTCCGAAGCCGCGCTGGAGCCCGTATGATCGTCCCTCAAAGGGTGGTCGGAAAGGCAAGAGCCCAGGCACAGGTAAAAGCACGCCAAGGATGCCCAGGGAGCTTGTTGGCTGCAAGGCATGCACCAATCGGGGCGACCCAATCTGTTTTGGGTATGGCTTGAAAACTTGCTCTGAGCAAGTGAAGGGCGGTCGCTGCCCAAAGGGGCTGCACGTATGCGCCGTCCCGAAGTGCGGGGGCGCGCATCCAGCACTTGACTGCCCACAGTATGCGGCCCTGAAGAAGGCCGGGTCTTGACACCAGGTGGGTCAAGATGAGATGGCGGCGATGCCATCAGTGAAGGGAAGTGGGCAGCTCGGAGTGGGCTCGCCCAAGCGAGCGCGGTCAAGGGACCGTGCTACCGCACAAGCTGTTGATTCGGCCGAGGGGTCGGATTCTGAATCCTCAATTTTCGCTGCTGAGCAAGTAGCTGCAGAGCCTATACTTTGTAAAGATCCTGAGCAATTTTCTGCTGCCGCATCACTTAAGAAGCCTTTAGATCTCAGAGATGTCGTGACCTTGTGTGATTTGCTGGAGAGTGAAATCCCGGCAAGAGGGAACAATTCTGATGACGAGTTCAGCTGGAGCACAGGGGCGTATGTGCATGGAGGTGTTCACGGATGCCGACAACATATGCATCAGTTCCCAGTGACCTCCGCATTCCTTGCGAAGGTCTTCAAGGAATACCACCCGAGGCTTCCAGTGACATCATTGTCTTTGACTCGCAATGTGCGAACAGCCTTGCATCTGGATGCAAACAATGCATTGTGCTATCTGAACGGCTTGATTAAGGTTTCGGGGTTTAGGGGAGGGGGTTTGTGGGTCCAGGACGCAAGCGGGGACACCGTGTGCCCCACCGATCCTTCTCTTCTGGGCTCACACCTCGACTTCAGAGACTCCACTCTTGCCTTTGATCCGCATAAGAAGCACCTTACATTGCCTTGGACGCAGGGCCCACGTATCGTTCTAATCGGTTTTGTGGTCAAAGCCACCGCTGAGATTCCAGATCAAGATGCCGAGATGCTGCTTCGAGCCGGTTTCAATTTGCCATGTCAAGATACAGCGACTTCTCTGTGTCAGCTTGGATCGCGCATAGTACCTTCTCTGGACTGTCTTCAAGATCCTTAGTCCCGAAGGCAAAGAGCTCCCGCGGAGCTCCTCTTGCGATCCAACTTTGCGCCGGGTCAGGCCTTCTGTCAGCTTCCGTCAAAGCTGCAAACATAGACACTTTGGCGGTTGATTTTCACGGGAATCGATCTAGGCCTTATGTGCATGTTGTCGGCCTCGATCTTACGTTGCCAGCCTCTTGGGAGTACTTGACGACCGTTCTTGAAACCAGACAAGTTGTTCATGTACATGTGACTCCCCCAGCTGGGACCACGCGACGATCGCGTGCAAAGCAGTCGCTTCGAAGTGCTTCCCACCCGTGGGGTGTGCCAGGTCAGGATTCGTCTGTGTTGGCTCGTCTCCAGTCGGCCAACCGCATCTTTATTCAGCTGGGAGCCTTTTTGCTTCGGGCTCGGGAACTTGGGGTGGCGTTCTCGCTTATGCACCCCATGTCCTCTTGGCTTTGGGAGCTGCCTCCCTTCGCCGACCTGCTCAAGGTCTCTTCTGAGGTACCAGTGTATCTGATGTCTGACTTGCACAGGCTCCAGCATTTTCGCTTAGTGTACACCTTGTGTGACCTGTCATCGCTTGCCGCGGCTGACAGAACCGATGCCATGACGCAGAAACTCTTCTGTGATCGTTTTGCTGCTGCCTTGTCCACTCAGGTTGCTGCCTCGGGTTTAGGCCCCTCCCCTCTTAGGCTCCCCGAGGTCCGTGCTGCGGCGCAAAACCAACCGAAGGCATCCAAGCTGCCACCGCTTGTGCCAGAGTTTGCCTACACGCAACGTTTGACGTGTGAAGGCCCTCCACCTTTGGATGCCAAGAAGCAGCTCACGCATCCGTGGAATGGCGTTCCCAAACATGCCCGCCTCCTGCGCTCTTCCACTTCCGAAGGGGGGGCGACTGAGGAATCCGCGCAGCAAGCGACCAACATCTCTTCGCAGAAGCCTCGCCATACTGAGTATGTGTTCGGTGTGTATCGCGAGCCGGTGCAATTTGTGTATCAGGCTGTCGCACTTCAGCATCCGTTTGATGCCGCCAGAGCTCTTCCGGATAAGCTTGTTCGTGTGCTCTTTGCCACGTTGACCAAAGGTCCCTTATGCATCATGCGAAACAGGTTACTCCTGCTGCAGAAGTGGAATCAGTGGGCAAAGGACCTTCGCTCAGATGAGGCCTCTCTCCAGGCCTCCCTGCATCCTTCGGTCCGCAAGGTTCTTCAGGGAAAGAAGCTGCTCCTTCTTGACAAGATTGCAAGATCACTTGACTGGCCCGACAAACACCTGCATCGTGACCTGTGTGCAGGGTTCAAGTTGTCAGGTGTTCCTGATCCTACAGGTGTTTTTGAGCCGGACCACAAGCCTGCCTTGTCTTCAGAGGAGCAATTCTGGGACGCTGCCGAAGTTTTGAAGCATCAGCTTTGGGCACGGGTGAGGGAGCAGCCGGCTCAGGAGTACGACGCGGAGCTGGCCGAAATCACACTGGGCGAAACCGATGTATCTGGAGGAAAAGGATGGCTCGAGGGTCCTTTGTCATTCTCTGAGCTCCAGGATCGCTTTAAAGGCCAGTGGATGCCGTGCCGAAGGTTCGCTGTATGGCAAAACAAGTGGAGGCCCATCGATGATCTTAGCGAGTCGGGGCTCAATGCAACATTTGGCTGCCATGAGAAGATTCCGCTTAGGGCTTTGGACGAGGTGGTCTGGATTTGCACAAAGATAATGCAGGCTGCCTCTGCTAGGGGCGATGTCACGTTGCAACTGAGCTCGGGCGAATCCTTGAAAGGCAAGCTGCATGAACATTGGGCCGACAAGGAGAAGATCAGACCTGTCACTACAACATTTGATCTTAAATCCGCTTACAAACAGCTTCCTCTTGCACCGGAGGAGCAAAGTAAGGCGATAGTCACCATTCGACATCCGTCGCAGACCGAGCCGTCCGGCTACATATGCCACACTCTTCCTTTCGGAGCCTGTGGATCTGTTCTTCACTTCAACAGAGTCTCGGCTCTGCTGAGAAGGATTATGCTTGAGATGGAGATCTTGACGGCGCTCTACTATGACGACTATCCAGTAGTGTCGCCATGCCTCCTTGGCAACAGCACGGCAGCAGCCTTCACTTCAGTAATGCGCCTTTTGGGGTTTAGGATTGCTGATGATAAGGATAAGCCTTTTTCGACGCGCTCGGAAACTTTGGGAGTTGTCATAGACACGTCGGCTGAAGATATGTCGGGCGTGTATGTGTGCAACAAACCTTCGAGGTCGCAGGCCATCGCCGTTGCCATTGAGGAGATTATCACCAGAGGGCACGTTGCACCTCGTGAGTTGCCTTCTTTGTTCGGCAGACTTCAGTTCGCCGAGGCACAGATCCTTGGCAGGATGGGCAGGTTGGCAATTCACGATCTCAGAAGCCTTGAGAGGTCTTCTGCTGCGCGCGTCAACCTCACAGCTCAGCATCTTGAAGCTTTGTTGCTCTTGAAGGAGCGCGTTGTGTCCGGAGCTCCGAGAAATGTGTCCGCTTCAGTTGCGACCAGTCCTATCGTGATCTTCACTGACGGCTGCTTCGAGCCGGATGCTGCGAACCCCGCTGGGGTGGGGGGTGTAATGTTCGCTCCTTCGTCTGGTGGAGGCTTGAAGGTAAGGGCCTTTGGCTCGCTTGTTCCAAAGACGCTGCTTGAAGCATGGCACGCCAGGGGCAAGCGACACCTCATAGGCCAGGTTGAGATGTTCGCTGTCATCATTGCCAGGTCGTGGTGGGCAAACGTCCTGGACGGTGCCAGGGTCATTTATTTCGTGGATCACAGCGGTGTGCTTGCCGCCTGCATAAGCGGATCCTCCAAAGAGGATACATGGAGAAAGCTTTTGTGCGCATTCGAGAAAGCTGATTCGCTGCCTGCCATGCAGTGGTTCAGCCGTGTTCCCTCACACTCGAATATCTCTGATGGACCGTCGAGAGGTCGCTGGGAGGGCCTTTTGAGAGCTTTCCCGGAGTGCGTGATTGATGATCCTTGTTGCCCTTTGACAGGGACAATGCTTCAGCGCTTCGTTTAGGAGCACTCTTGTCAAGCGGGGCGAGCGGAGTGCTCTCGAAGCGATGTGCTTCTTTCTTGTGGCGATGTGCCACGTGGTGCGTGCGGCATGCACTTGGAAACCCCGTTTGATGCTTTCGAGCGAAAAGGTCGTGAGTGTGCGCATGCCATAAAATATTGGATTGATTCTTTATTTGAGTCATTTATAGAACGTCCCTAAGAGGACGACTAGATATTCGACATTTGTAAATCCAAATCAGCTTGAGCCGCAAATCGTAAGCTTCTACTCATGCTCGCATGATTTCGCTTTACGATTTGTAGGCGCTTGAGGTTTTTCTGGAAGTGCAGAAAAACTGCTGATTTTGGATTTCCGGCAGTACTTGAAAGATGTTTCACGTTTCACATGCCGCACGCTGTTTGAACCATGTTATGTTGCAAAGTCTTGGCTCAGAGTGGAGCTCAAGACTGAGAATTTTTGTTTTCCCACCCACCCAACCCTGGGGGGCGAGCGGAGTGCTCTCGAAGCGATGTGCTTCTTTCTTGTGGCGATGTGCCACGTGGTGCGTGCGGCATGCACTTGGAAACCCCGTTTGATGCTTTCGAGCGAAAAGGTCGTGAGTGTGCGTATGCCATAAAATATTGGATTGATTCTTTATTTGAGTCATTTATAGAACGTCCCTAAGAGGACGACTAGATATTCGACATTTGTAAATCCAAATCAGCTTGAGCCGCAAATCGTAATATGTATGTATGAAATCCCCTCATCCGTTTAATAAAACGACGATCCATCGCTGGCCGCGAAGGTGCAAAACAAAACAAGCGAGCTCTGGATCTGCCTGCACAGGGAGTGAAGCTGACACGTGGGAGAGAGAGAAAGTGATCGAGACTGTAGAGGGCAACCACATCATTACCCAACATAGCTCGGTGGGGTGAGCGACAAGGAACATCATCAAGATCAAATCCCCACGCAAGTAGTAGTTGCAGTAGTTGTAGTAGTAGCAGCAGTAGCAGTAGTGGTAAGTATAGCACGACATCAAGGGAGCTGGTGCTCGCCTCTTCGAGCATATCAGTCATAGGGTCAATCGAGTCAGTTTCACACCAAGTGCGTGCACCGCGGCAATCGCCCGCAATGTGCTGAGCCCGGTCGCACGGCGTTCAATTGAAAATAGTAGTATAGTAGTAGTAGTAGTAGTAGTAGTAGTAGTAGTAGTAGTAGTAGTAGTAGTAGTAGTAGTAGTAGTAGTAGTAGTAGTAGTAGTAGTGGTAGTAGTAGTGTAGTCGTGTAGTAGTAGTAGTAGTAGTAGTAGTAGTAGTAGTACTAGTAGTAGTAGTAGTAGTAGTAGTAGTAGTAGTAGTAGTAGTAGTAGTAGTAGTAGTAGTGTAGTAGTAGTAGTAGTAGTAGTAGTAGTAGTAGTAGTAGTAGTAGTAGTAGTAGTAGTAGTAGTAGTGGTAGTAGTAGGGCCTGTAATCACTCACCTGGCATGTCTACATACCACAGACATTCGTCGGGCCGGGACGCAGCGCATGTCACCTTGCCGCCGGAGCTGCGGCGTCGAGTCGACGCTATCGCCGAACTCGTGCCTGCCGTTTTATCACAGCAGGGCAGCTACGTAGTCAACGGGCTCAGTTCATGTTGACCATACTAGCAGATCAATGTATAACACAGATGAGGAAATGCTGTGCCATCTGTGCCACAAGCAGGACCTCGCACGACACGAATCAGCATACACGCAGAGACAAAGCTCCAAGCTACAGCCAGCCAAAGCGCAAGCATTCTCTCAGTTGCAGGTCTGCCAGCCTTCGTCATGGTGAAGCGAGCCGCGAAATGCATGCTGTGCAGCAAAACGCGCGCTCTGCGCGAAGTCAAGAAGGAAAGCCTGCTGGAGGCTGCGAAGGCAGCTGCGAAGAAGCCACTTCCGAGGCGGTGGGGGTCGACCTCGTTTGCATCGGGTCTGCACGTTAATTACCTGTTAGCTTACGTTGGAGTCAGGACAACAGCTTCTTGCTGACAAGTTTGACTTTGCATTTTTGCTCTCTTGACAGGACTGTCAAGTTGTGCGAAACTTGTGCGACGAAGCTCTCCCACGCCTTCACGGCCAAGCGCAAGGCCATGGGTGACGGCGATGTTTGATCTTGCCTCCGTGTTCTACTGTGAAAGGCCGCGGCGAGGGAGGTCTCTGCAGAGGCCGCCTATCAGGACTCTTTGCAGGGTTTAGGGGTCTTGGTTCATGGGTTCTTGTTGGAGGAGGTGTCATGTCCTTGGCATAATTCTGTCGTTTCTCAGGATCATCCTGGAAGACAGTGACGGGGATGTTTGATCTTGGCTCCTTGTTCAGAGGGTTTTGGGGTTTTAGTTCATGGGTTCCTGCTGGTGGAGGTGTCATGTGGAGTCGGGGTTGGCTTACTGTGAAGGCAGAAGCGTCAACATGAAACGATGACGGTCTAATCGCAGTCGAAAACACATCAGCAGCAGCGCTTGTAACCTTACCACATTTACCATTTGCTTCGTCCATCCCGGGTTGGGCAGCCATACAGCGGTGACTTCTCATGTTGCAATCACGCAGATCTGCCCAACTCACTGCAGTTGATTCTACTGCTAAAAGCACCCCATCCAAGCGCAGCACATGGCTTACGTCGTGCATGAAGCGCTCCGGCTCTTCTTTTCCGCGCTCCAGCTCAGAGGAACTTGCCCAGCGTCGGGTCTTCGTGGAAGACAGTAACGACGATGTTTGATCTTGCCCCCCTGTTCTACTGCGAAAGGTCGCGGCGATGGAGGTCTCGACAGAGGCCGCCCATCAGGACTCTTTGCAGGGTTTAGGGTCTTGGTTCATGGGTTCCTGCTGGAGGAGGTGTCATGTCCTTGGCATAATTCTGTCATTTCTCCGGATCATCGTGGAAGACAGTGACGGGGATGTTTGATCTTGGCTCCTTGTTCAGAGGGTTTTGGGGTCTTGGTTCATGGGTTCTGGTGGAGGAGGTGTCATGTGGAGTCGGGGGTGGCTTATTGTGAAGTGAAGGTAGAAGCGTCAACATGAAACGATGACGGTCTAATCGCAGTCGAAAACACATCAGCAGCAGCGATTGTAACTTTACCACATTTACCATTTGCTTCGTCCATGTCGGGTTGGGCAGACATGCAGCTGCGAGTTCTCATGTTGCAATCACGCAGACCTGCCCAACTAACTGCAGCTGATTCTACTGCTAAGAAAGGGCAGCGCATGGCCTACGTGGTGCATGAAGCGCTCTTGCTCTTCTTTTCCATGCTTCAGCTCAGAGGAACTTGCCCGGCGTCGGGAGGAGGTGCTCGCCAGCTTGGGCAGCTGGTGCCAAGCACTCAAGGCTGGGTTAAGGTAACGATAATTATAATTACACCCCAATTAAGGTACTTATAACCTTATACTTTATAAGTCCCATGATCCTCCTAGGGTTCTCAGGTTGTTCAAAATTTTTTTAGAGGTCAACAGCGCCATATGGATTTCGGAACTACTTCGAGTCGACTACAGACCAACGTGTGCTTGCAAGCCGGCCAGCCTCGGTAAACGCCCCAAGTTCGGAGTATGCAGCTTCACATGAAGAATACGTTCGTTGAAACAACTTTTCGCACATGGATGCATGCACGTGGGCTCTATATATATGCACGCACAAAGTCCCGCGCGAAACCCGCGCGAAGGGCGCGTGTGAAGCGCGCGAAGCGCGGGGCGTGCGAAGGGCGCGAAGCGTGCAAAAAGCCGCGCGAAAAGCCGCGCGAAGCCAACCGAAGGGCGCGAAGCGCGCGAAGCGGCGCGAAGCCGCGCGGAGGCGCGCGAGAGGCGCGTGAGATGCGCGAAGCGGCGCGAAGCGCGCGAAGCAGCGCGAAGCGCGCGAAACGCGCGAAGCGCGCGAAGGCGCGCGGAGGCGCGCGAGAGGCGCGAAGCGGCGCAAAGCGCGCGAAGGCGCGCAGAGGCGCGCGGAGCGGCGCGAAGCGCGCGAAGCCCGCGAAGGTGCGCGGAGGCGCGGGGAGGCGCGCGGAGCGCGCGAAGCCGCGCGAAGCGCGCGAAGGCGCGCGGAGGGGTGCCATCAGAGGCGCGCGAGAGGCGCGAAGCGGGCGCGGAGGGGCGCCAGAGGCGCGCGAAGCCGCGCGAAGCGCGCGAAGGCGCGCGGAGGGGTGCCAGGGGCGCCAGAGGCGCGCGAGAGGCGCGAAGCGGCGCGAAGCGCGCGAAGCCGCGCGAAGCGCGCGAAGCGCGCGAAGCCACGCGAAGCGCGCGAAGAGGCGCCAGAGGCGCGCGAGAGGCGCGAAGCGCGTGAAGCGCGCGAAGGCGCGCGGAGGCGCGCGGAGGCGCGAAGCGCGCGAGGCCGCGCGAAGCGCGCGAAGCCACGCGAAGCGCGCGAAGGCGCGCGAAACGCGCGAAGCGCGCGAAGCGCGTAGGTCGCGCCCCAGGGTGACCATACTCAACCTTTTGAATGCGCATTTGTTGCGTTCCTCAGTGATGCAATCGTGCTTATTCTTGGGGCCAGCGTGGTGGCGACAACAGTGGTGTGCAGTACTAGCTGCAAGACATGCAGTCGATCCAAGTTTCTGATTGCATCTGCTGCAGTGCAGTCTGGAATCGGCGATGTGCAGCAGATCCATGCTCCTGACAGGTGTTTGATGCAATCTTCTGTTTACGTGGGGCAACGCCAACTTCGGTGAACAGCAATTTCAAACACTATTCGTGCTCCTCAGTTTCTGGGCAATAACTGGTGCTGCTGGTAGACAGGCGAACCATCCAGCTCAAGTTACTCTTGCCGAGCTTCGCCCTTGTGCTGGCCACCACTCTGTCGCCCAACGGCGGTAGTAGATCGTAACTGTCGAAAGTTAGGAGCTCTGGGGCACTCGACATAGTACTCGAACTGTAAATGTGGTTAGGTCAACAGGGGCTTGTGTTGGTCTCAAGTTTTTGGTTTCGCTATTGCTATTAGTTCTTGCTCCTGCCGGCGTTTTCTGGCTGTGCGTGATAGCTGAACCTAGAGTTGGACCTAGACTTCAACTAGACTAGACCTTAAACTTTAGACTTTAGACTCTAGACTCGAGAGTCTAGACTCTGACTAGACTCTAGGACTCTAGGCTCTATAGACTCTAGACTCTAGACTCAAATTCAAGACTCAAGACTCCAGCCCCTAGACTTCTAGACTGTCTAGACTTGGGGGGTTCCATGTCAATGTTTTGAGGGGTCGTCTACACTCCGGCCACGCTGCCCTCATGCTGTCATGCACGGTATGCTCGAAAAGGCATGTGTCCACATGAGTTTGGGGTCGCAAAAGGCATGTGTCCACATGTTCTGGGGCCTACAGAGGGCAAGTTGTCCACAAGAATCGGGGTCTCCCCCAGCAGGTTGTCCACATAGCCGGCGCGTAGATATGGGGATCTAAAGCGACATAAATTCCAGAGAGAGAGATATATATTTATATACATATATATATATATATATATACATATATATATATATATATATATATATATATATTGTAAAACAAGCCGAAGTTATAGTGAGTTTGGGAGTGTAAGTTCCAATACGGTTTTCCAGAACTGTAAAGTATTTTGTAAAGGCAGCAGCATCTTACAGCTAAAGTATGTGAGCAGTCGGGCGAAATGGGTGCTCAGTCGTTGGCTGCTTGGAATTAGAATTTAGAATCTTGGACTAGAATCTTAGAATGAAGTTGTTGCGACCGTGGAACCTGCTGCAGAGATTAGCAGACCAGCAGCATAAGTCTGGGTGAGATTATAGACTATGGAAATAGGCTACCCGCCTGTGCACACGGTATGCACGGTTGAATTGACAGTTATGCCGTCACACTTTGGACAAACAACGACGGCGAACCACAACAGTCGTGGACACGAGTTGTGGACATGCAGTGGGCAAAATGCGGAATTGGCGCGGACGAGATGGAGATACTGTGTGGATAACCTGTGGATACGATGCGAGCGGGGCGCGGACGAAATGCGGACACAGTCGGCGTCACTTGTGGATCGAGGCGGCGAAGTGCGGACAACATGCGGAGAAATCTTGGCTTAACCGCGGACACCTTGTTGACAAAGTCGCGGATACTTCGACAAAGTTGTGGACGACCCGACCAAATTTGTGGATATTGGCGGACAAAGTTGTGGACACGTGCGGACATGCGAGGACAAAGTTGCAGACACATGTGCGGACAAAGTTGTGGACACATGCGGACAAACTTGTGCACACACGCGGACAAACTTGTGGACACATGCGGACAAACTTGCGGACGCATGCGGGCAAAGTTGCGGACACTTTGGTTCAGGACCGTGCGTTTCGGATTCCAAACATTGGACATTTTCGGCGTCTCGCTACACTCTTTGACCCAAAGTATAGTGACACGCCAAAAATGTCCAATGTTTGGAATCCGAAACACACGGTGCTGAACCAAAGTGTCCGCAACTTTGCCTGCATGCGTCCCCAAGTTTGTCCGCATGTGTCCACAGGTTTGTCCGCAAGCGTCCACAACTTTGTCCGCGTGTGTCCACAACTTTGTCCGCGTGTATCCACAACTTTGTCCGCAACTTTAACCGCGTGTGTCCACAACTTTGTCCGCAAGTGTCCACAACTTTGTCCGCACGTGTCCACAACTTTGTCCGCGTGTGTCCTCAACTTTGTCCGTGTGTGTGTGTGTGTGTGTCCGCAAGTTTGTCCGCAACTTTGTCCGCAAGTGTCCACAGCTTTGTCCGCGTGTGTACTTTGTCCGCGTGTGTCCACAACTTTGTCCGCAACTTTGTCCGCATGTGTGCACAACTCTGTCCGCACATATCCACAACTTTGTCTGCAAATGTCCACAACCTCGTCCGCAACTGTCTCTGCAATTTTGTGTCCACACGTTTCTGACATTGTGTCCACACATCTTTTGTCCACAGCTTTTTGTCGACAACTTTGCGTCTACAACTTTATGTCCACATTTTTTTGTCCAGAACGTTGTGTCCACAACGTCGTGTCCACAACTTCGTGTCCACAACTTTGTGTCCACAACGTTTTGTCCACAACTTTGTGTCCACAAACTTTATGTCCAAAGCTTTTTGTCCACGCAGTTTGCGGCCCAAGAAAAGTCTTACTTTTTCGCACTCTACCTTTTTCTATAATGATCCTGCAGCTCAAAGTTTCACTCCATTTGAGATCCGATTTCAGTCCGGCGTCAATCGAAAATAGACCTTCAGCAGTCAACCTACGAAGATCTTGCCGCATCTTGCCCGGGTAGCAAGGGGTATTACCCAAACATATGACCCAAAGCATGTCAGACCGTGGCGCCGCATGTGTGGACACCCCCGCCCGGTGATGTGGACACACAGGCCCCGTAGATGTGGACAACAGGCCCCGTGGGTGTGGACACACAGGCACGGTAGCTGTGGACACAGAGGCCCCGTGGTGTGGACACAAGGGCCCCGCAGTTGTCGACATGCGCTGTTTTCAAGAACCCCTTAGAGCAGGCTATATAGAGCCGGCCGCCCGTGTAGAGAACATTGCCGTGGAACCCCCCAAGTCTAGACTCTAGTAGACTCACTCCATCTGTGCCACGGGGTTCAATTGGACAGTACTTCGGCTTGCTGTCGCTGCTTTTGGTTGTGCAGGCTCGCCTACAAGATTCCGTTGGCCTGGTCTTGGAGCATTGCAGCTGGCCATTCGTGCAACCGGACCGGCCGAGACGGCGGCCTTTGAACCAGGCTGCTGTGGGAAGGCTCCAGTTTCGCTCGCATTTTGCTTGGTCATGCTGCATGCTGCTTCGGACTGTGTAGGCCAGACGACGTAGTTTGAACAGCAGGGAGGCAGGTAATGGCAGGTTCGAAATTGGAGAGCATTTGACTTCCAAAGCCCCAAAGCCCTTGCCGCCCTTCCCTCTACCGTTACAATTTTGCAGTCAGTAAACTATACAGTTTGTGAGGCTACGTTTCGTGACTGAAGATGCTTTCGCGGCCTCGATGTGCTTCACAAGTGCCAACAGCGATGAGACTGTGGAGGTGTTGAAGTTGAGCGTGCTCGGTTGGTCGCTGACTGAAGGTCGCCTGGACCGCTACTTGATCAAGGACGTGGATATGCAGCGCCAATTCCAGGTGCAGGCCGCGCCGCTCCCCAGGTCGGACAAACCGCGCATGGACCGCCTGGAGGCCGAGTCATCCGAAGAGCTGGATTTGCTTGAGGACATATTGGACAGACCAAGACCGTCGGCCATACCGGTTCGACAGCCTGCAGCTGCCACTGCGGCTGCTGATCATGTGGCAGCAGTGGACGATGTCAACGATGTCCATAACTTGCCCTCCGAAGACATCATCATCTTGGAAGAGGAATTTGATCCGCTGGAAGTCTTGCGGGCTCAGGAAGAGGAGTGCGCCCAGGAAGCACTGCCCCTTGACGAAGAACTTCATGATCAAAACGAGGAGGAGGAGTTGTTGGCTCAGCTTGACCACAACGTGCCCGGGAATCCGGGTGAAGCTGGTGCAGTGAACGTTGAGGAGGAAATTCAGCTGGGTATGCTTGGCTTGGATGCCGCACCGCATGCCAACATATCCAGCTTGCCCATTGTGGATGTTGGCTCTTGGCACTTCCGTACGAGGAATAACAATGAGGATGTGGGCAGGCTTCACCTTGTTGGACAATCGACAATCAAAGCGACGTGCAAAATCCACAAGCAATGCATTTGTATGATTAGTATGCCTACTCACGGCACAGCCCGACATTCTTCAGTTGTCTCGCGCATGGGCCGCGAACCGGTGATGGTGGACATAGAGCAAGACTTGGTGCACTGGCTGGCAGCTGGAGTGGGTTCGGACGCTGCGAACCACAACGAAGTCGGTCGCAGTCTGAGATCTGAGAAATGGTTTGTCAAAGTGCGCCCAACTCGTGCAGCATGATCCTGCTGTACCGCTGGGCTGATGTGTCTGTGGCTTGGCTACGTCCTGGCTGTGCTTTCAAGCTGCTTGCTTACTATTACGACTTACAGACTTACATTACATTCTTATTATATTACTTACGTTGTTAGCTTGTAATTTTAACGATAATGGCATTCAATAACTTGATTTAATGATAACTACTAGTTTACTGACTTATTAGTTTACTGATTATCAATGTAATCGTATAACACAGACTCGACGAGTAGCATCGAATCTAACAGTCTAACTAACAATCTAACAATTGTAACAGTAACAATCTAATAAATCTAATAATCTAATCTAATAGTATACCAAAATTTTCATACGGAGTGCAGTTATGTTATCTAGCAATCTAGTCATAGTCTATTTTGTATTATACCGTATATGCATTCACCATATGGACCATATGGACATATGGACCATATAGTCATATGAGTCATATGTATATATAAATAGATATGTATGTAGATATACTATCTACTGTAAGAAATATAACATAGTGTAACATAGACATATAATCATATATAGACCTACAGGCCTCCGGGTTCGAAGTACGAAATACAGAACACATGGCGGACAATAGATGCCATGTAACAGATACCCCTAGCAGCCCTAGCAGCTAGCAGCGAGCAGCTTTAGCATGACAAAGGCAATGTACAACTGGGGAGCTGTATCATGTAAAATAACGGAAACCGCAGACGTGCCACGCATCTGCATCACAGCATCTGGACTCTTGTATTTAAGAAGTGTGAGAGCTCGCTAGAATCACAAGCCGATGAACCTGTAAAAAATGTAATTGCCGCCAGAGGTTTGGTTTGATGTATGTCAGCGCGGCGAGCATCAAATCGAAGCAGGAGGCAATTTGGGCTGGGTCACCTGGGCAGTAGTTGCAGGATACCGTTAGAAGCATTTGCCATGAGTTATTAGCCGCCTTTTGGCTAGCCATCCTTTGGACTTCGACTCGGCTGACTGTTCAGACCTGCAACAGCCCCTGTGATACCACAAACCTACGCTGGTTTGTTTGCCTCACTCTCACTCTTTCTGCCTCCCTCTGCTTCTCTCTCTCTCTC